TATCTATCGTCCAGGAGTGTAAGCCTAGCAGAGTCTAATAGAGGCAAACAGAGTCAAGTACTAATGGGAGGCAACATGTGATTAAGTGGCAAAAATGGGTGGTAATGACTAAAGAACAGGAGCTACCCTCTGTTCATGTCATCGTTTTTTGCCAAAAATCAGATCAGAGGAAACCTAAAAAATGATTATAGAAAGTCAAAGCCTGGTTTCAAAGTCGTGATCCCCAAAGTCAGGCAAGGCCAGTCAGGCCATTTATGCAGTGACCCACTGGGTGATGGGAGAACGCGTTAAGGCTTCTATTATAATGATTTTTACCTTTTTTTAAAAAAGGGGAAACACAAAAATTCACAAATCCGGTTCTTTAAGATTTACTAATTTTAGCACTGCCAGCCTGTTTTGAATTTTTGTATCAAGCAAGTCACTCTTTTACAGTCTACTTACAAAGTAATCAGGGGGCAGAGTAAAAGTTCTACCACCCAGAGGGGTTGACAGCGGGACCTTCAGCATCCCGCAGTACTATCAGGGTAAGTTCATTTTCAAGTTACTCCTCTGGAAATAAGCAAGTGGCTTAAATTGATTCCTGCAAAGAAGCCATGAAGTACGATAATAGTAACAGCATAAGTACAAGCAAACAAGAAAACAGCAGAGCTGATACTTTTATTCATAGTACCTTCAGTAGCACCTAAAGTAAAACCAAAGCCAATGTGGTCTGATCTAACAAAAAGCCAGCCTCCCTCCAAAAAAAAAAAAAAAAAAAAAAATCTAAATTAATCAAAAGGGCTACTTCGAAACAGGTTCATAATTATTATTTTTAGTTGAAAACCTTACCACAAGTATATATTGAGCTGTCAATCAATGAATATAATTTAGAAACATCTTCCCAAATCTTACAGTAACATGCCTTGTGAGGATACGGATTTGGCAATGGGCTCCTGTTCCCAGCCCTCATGTACATCAAACAGAGGGAAGCTGAACTTTTTAAGTGCCAGCTGACAACGTAACACAGAACTGTCCCATCAATTTGTAAGTTAGAGTGATCAATTCCCAACAAGTGATTAATAAACTGCAGTCAGTACCTGGATGATTTGGACTTTGCGGCGTAAAGTGCAGGCTTTGTGTATCATTCTATTAATCTCACAGTACATAATGTTTTATAAAAATGAAAATTGGGGATTCCGCTTTTCACATTAGGGTAGGGTTTTACTCTGGGGGTACATGCTCAAAACAGTTTTCCTGATAGGAGTGCATCCTCAAAGCAGCTTAGAGATCTCCTTTGCTTTGGATATCACACACCCCCAAAATTTAACAAGAGTTACAGGTGACAAAGGGAATGATCGGCTTTGGGGGAGCTCAAATTTGGAAGCCATCACATAAAAATATTTAAGGAAAACAACCATACATTCCCATCACCAAGACTGAAGCAAGATAATAAATCCTTCCTAGAAATTACTCTCTAGTTATATAAATAACTCCTTCCTAGAAATCACTCTCTAGTTATATATATATTTATATATAAAAAGCTTAAATATTCTCTAATTTCATTTTGACCATGTTGAAAGGTAAACCCCTTGAGAACAAAGCCAAAGTCTAAGATTTCGTATTGATGAATGATAGCGGCTAATCGTCTACCCTATTTTTGACATCAGTTTTTCCATTTGTAAAATGCAAAGAACAGGCCAATATAGCTATAAGGTTCCTTCCACGTCCATCCTGTACGGGTCTAAGAGGAGCTGTTACAACCGTCTTTACTGAAATGTGCACTGACAAAGACTTCACATAAACACCCTTTGCGGCAGTGAAGCTCTACTGCTACGTGGCTACACATCTATGGTGATTTTTACAACAAAGTCCCTAAATTCTTTGATATCTCTCCATCAAGAGGAGAGGGTCTGCGTCCCTCCCTCTCAAGTCTGAGCTCTGGGACTGCCTCACTAATAAAATGCCACAGAAGCGATGCCCCACCAGTTTGCTGGCCCGGAGCTTAGAAACGGGCAGCTTCCTCTCTCTGTCTCTTGAGATACTCATTCTTGGAACCTGGCCACCACGCGGGCAGACGCCCAGGCCCATATAGGTGTTCCTGCTGAAAGTCAACATCAACTGCCCGATATGTGAGTAAAGACACCACCAGATGATACCAACCTCGGCCACTAAGTATCCCACATTATGAGTCTTCCTCGCAGAGGCTCCAGACACAGGGGAACAGAAACAAACCATCTCTGCTATGCCCTGTCCAAATTCCGGACACACAGTGCATGAGCATGGCAAAGGGAGTTTTATACCACTATGTTTTAGGGTGCTTTGTTACACAGCAATAGAAAACTAGAACAATTTTAAGATATAAGGGATCATACATTTTCCACATGGAGATATCGTGAATCATATTATTTTTCTAAATAGTAAATAAGAACTATTAAAGTTACAGTGGGCATTAACTAAAAAGAAACCCAAGATCTAAAAAATCATATTCAAACCCTGAGGATCACTATCCTGCCAGATTATCAAAAAAAATAAAGAGAAAGCTAACAGATAACCATTAAAACTTCCCATGACATTAAGAGAAGTACCAGAGTTGTTTTCAAGTTCATTCACTGGACATTTGTTTACAGAGTACCCACCAGTGCCGGGCACTGTTCTAGAGGCTAGGCACACAGCAGTGAACGTGACAGATAAAAGTCACTGTCCTCACAGAACTTACATTCAGTGGAAGGAAAGAGACAAAGTATGTTAAATGGTATCAAACAGAAATATGAAACAAGAAAGGAGACTAGGGAACGTTGCTGGTAATACTGATGAAGAGGGGTTGCTGCAGTGAGGTGACATTTGCGTCAAAACCTTTAAGTGGTGGTTTTGTCGGTTAAGCGCCCGACTGGGTGGCTCAGGTCATGATCTCACGTTTCGTGGGTTCAAGCCCTGCATCGGGCTCTGCTGTGCTCTCTCTCTCTCAAAATAAATAATAAACTTTAAAAAAATGCAATACTCTTTATTAAAAAGAGAAAAAAGACAAAAAACCTTAAAGTGGTAGGGGAATAAGCCATGTGAGTATAATGAGGAAAGAGTACGCCAGACAGAGTGAAAAGAAAGTACAAAGGTCTTAAAACCCAGAGTGACAGCAGTTGATTAAGCAAGCAAGAAAGTAGTTAAAAAAAAAAAAAAAAAAAGAGCTCAGAGAGGAAACTAGGGGCCAAATGGCATCAGCAAATTCAAGCAAAAACCCAACAACACTGAAACTGGAACCAGTAGAACCAAATCCAACAAGAAGAGGAATGTTTCCCCCGTTTTTTGCTCACTGCTTTATCTCCAGCACCTATACCAGTGCCAGTGCCCGGCACATAGTAGAATGAATGAAGTCCTGGCTCTGTCGCTTAGCAGCTACTTGACTTTTAACAAATGACTCCGATTTTTTGAGCGCCAGTTCTAATCTTTAAAACTAGAGTAACAATCCCTCCCCAGAGGGTCACAGTGATCAAGCATGGGGGAATATTTTGCAAACTGTAGAGTGCCATGTACAGGTGAAATCTGTATTACTGTAAAATTATGATTATGATTATTATTATGGTATTATTAACAACAACAATTATTACTAACAATGACCACTCTACCATGTCCCATTAATTTCAGTCTCTAAATCATTCTTTTCCTCCATCTGTTGTGCAACCGGGGCAGGGCTATCTTCCCTTCAGCACGAGGGAGTGGACTTTAAGCACTTGAAGGCTTTTGTAAATGAGTGGCAATAATTAAGATAGGATAGGTACTCCTCTCAACTTTTCCTTGAGATTCTCTGAGAAATAAAATGAGGCATAGTTTCCAGGTGAAGATTCCACACCGGTTTGTAAAATCCAGTCGGCTTGCAAACTTTTTTCTTTTCTGTCAAAATGCAAGAACGCCTAACACGAGAAGAATAACTTAACACATTTCTCGACATGTTTTATTCTTTCTCTTAAACCTACAGCAGCCTGTTGAAAGGAGGACAGGAAGGAGGAAACATGAGAAACACTCTAAGGATTGGAAAGACATTGTTTTTCTTAGAGGCCAACTAATCCAGTCATCTCAAACTACCTGGATCCCTTTAAGGGCAGAAAATCTACACGTAACTCACTCCAACTGGAGACAGCTTCAGTTTTCTCATCAGTAAAAAGGAGATAATATCATGTTCTTCAAGAAGCTTCAATTCCAGAATAAACTAATGCATATAAAAGCATCTGGTACATGCTAAGCACTCACTAAATGTTGGCAGAATTTGGGTCTTCTTCATTTATTCAACATCAAGTGAACAGCTGAAGTATGGCAGGCAGCACTCTAGGCACTGGGAAAGGGCCGTAAGCAAAATTCTTGTTCTCCTGTAACTTCCCCCACTGGCCCGTTCTGTTCTTTGGAACTACATCTGGCTTTGGGCAGGATCTCCTCCACAACATAGCATCTTTTGAGGTTCTGCGGATCGCTATCAGGCACCTACCTCTCTTTCCACCCACATTTCCCCCAGCCTAAGCTAACAGCCTCAGTTCTTTGAAGGAGTCAGCAAGGATGTGGGAACAAAGGCTAAAACAGGGCTGGGTGGGGCGAAGGCAGGTGCCCAGGCAACTCCACGGAAAAAAAGAGATCAAGAGAACCGCACGGATTCCAGGCCAAGGTCAAGACGGGCTGGTCCAACTCAGGTGTGTCACCTGACACCTCTCCCAGGAACGGCCACACTCCCCTCCCAGTCCCCTGAGGTCGCTGCTGGGCAAGGGGGTACCGGCCCAGTGGGGGCGCCCTGGCCCCACCGTGTAGGCTGGAGAACCGGGAGGGCACTCGCCCGTTTGTCCTCGCCTTTTCTTTCCGGTCGCTTCGGAGAGAATTCCCAGCATCATTCTCGGCGTCTCCATGCTTCCTCCTCCCCGGCCCAGGCCCCTCCGCTCCCGGAGCCTCCTCTTAGGAGCCGCCTCACACCTACGCCCTTCCCTCTCCCCAAGGCAGCCGCCGTTCTCCCGGCCCCAAGAACGCCAGCGTCCGGCCGCACTCACCTGCGAGCCCGGCCCCTCCATGTCGCCACTGGCGGCCGCGACAGGGAAAAGCGGCGGCAGCAGCTGGCGGGCCAGCCCCCTCGAGCCACCTTTACTCCCACTTCCTGCTTGCGGCCCCGCCTCCGCCGCGGCCGCCGTCGTGCCTTGTGCTGCCAATGGCCCTCGGGAGAGCCAATCCCTGCCCTTCCTTAAGTAGGGGGCGGGACTCTTCCGCCGCCGGGTAAGCTAGTGGGGAACCGCGAGTCGAAGGCCCCGCCCCCGTCCCGCCCCCGCCGTGTGCTTCCAGCCCGAGGCCGAGGCTATGCAATGCGCGCCATGGTAGGCGTCCACCTGTCCTTCACGCCTCATCCTGCCCCCCGACGCACGCCCAGGATCAGGCTGTTACTCCAAAGCCGACCCACCATCTACTGAGAGCAAATGCAGACTTGGCTACTCAATAGCTAGATAGCCTTGTGAGAGCGTCTTATTTTACCTCATCTCCTCGTTTGTAAAATGGGGGAAAGTAAGGGTACCTACTTGACAGGTTGTCAGAGGACTAAATGAGAGAAAACTGCAAAGCCCCTTAGCCAATGCCTGACATATAATAAGGAATTAGTAAATGTTAACTATTAAAACATTCGCCACTCTCCACTTTTTGACCTTGAGTAAGTCACTGCCACCATCTGGGCCTCTGAGTTTTTTTCATACAAGACAGAAAATATGTGAGTTTCACTGATCAGACTAGGGAAAGATTGGGCAAGAGCCCTCCACCTCCGACCCCGCATTCTCCACGCCCTTTTGTGGACTGCATTGAAGAAGCTGGCATCTAAACTCTGTTCAGCTTGAAGGACAGCTATGAAGCTAGGATAAGGCTTGACCCCAACCCTTGGGTAGCTCTGCTGGGGCAATGGGGTTCTCTTACCTCAGACCCCAGAAAACACTGGAGTCTTCTAGCCCAGCACTTAACACAGCCTTTGAAATTATTCTTTAATGTGTCTGTTGCCAAACTGAACCAGATTAATGGCTTTACAAGTTAAACTGGAAAGGAACTGAAAATATTATTCTGTAAAAATAGTTTTAATGATAAAATAAGTGTCTAGAAACCCAACAAAGTGATGGGGTTTCCCATAATAAACACTATAACACAATATAATTGTAAAAAAAAACCTTAATCATCATCATTATTATTATTATGCCCCTGCCTATTAGACATACTAGCCCTGAGTTTCCCCAAAGCCCAAACTCTTTGAGCCGTAAACAAATCAGACAAAAATCTTGTTCTCTTGGAATGCTCTCCTGTTATCTCCTGTAATGTCCCCCACTGGCCTGTTCTGTTCTCTGGAACTACGATCTGTCTACATTACAGAGTAATGTCTTTTGAGATTTTGCAGATGGCTATCACATATCTCTCTTTCCATTCACCTTTCCCCAGCCTAGATTAACAACCTCAATTTTTTTGAAGGAGTAAGCAAGGATTTGGTAACAAGAGCTAACACAGGGCCAGATAGGGGCAAAAGTGAATGTCCAGGCACCCATCTCTGAACTCCTAGTGCCCAGCACAGCACGGGGATGTGGAAAATGGTTAGTATGATTTTACTGAGTGGATGGACAGAATGATTGGTGTGTCATCAACTTCTATGATACAAGAAAGGACAAATAGAAGTGTAAGAAACTTCCTGTGAGAGCCAGAGCAGTGACCAATTGATTTGGACAGGCTAGGATGAGACATCGGGAAAGGCTTCATGGAGGAGAAAGTCTTCAGGTTGTGGTTGTTTTGCTTAGCTAATAAGAGCAGTGTTTATTGATCACTTACTATGTACTGGCACCCATGGCAGTGTTTTTGTATATATTATGTCTAATCCATGAAAGGAGTGTCAGTTTCCCCATCTCCCAAAAGAGAAAACTGAAGTTCTGACTATCTAAACCCCAAGTCACACAGCTGGTAAGTGGTCAAGAGAGGACTTAAACCCAGGTCTCTTACTGCAAAGGGCTTCAACTGAAGTGGTTTGGTTGTTTCACTTTCAAGGACTGAATTAGAAGCTGTTTTTGAACTTTTGGGATGTTTGAAATCTGTTATTTCAGGGCTTCTGCATTGGTATCCTCACACATGGGAAGATTCTGGAACAAATAAATCCTAACACCCTACTCTTTAGCAAGACACCAACTCCCCTCTGCTCGTTTGTTTTATGCCTCCTTTGAACCACTTCAGATTGGGGTAAGTATGGTCACAACTGAGGGCTATATAAAAGCAAACCCAGTGAGGCCCGAAGTGCCACCATTACCTCACATGTTTGAAAACTCCTTTGGTGTGTAGGCAACTGTAGAACAGCATGAAGGTCAGAGCAGGCCCTGGAGTGGCCAAAAGCCACTGAGTGGCTGGCTGCTCTTGGGCGAGTTGCTCAATCTCTTGGTGCTTCAGTTTCCTCAGCTGTAAAAATCGGACAATCAAAGTACTTCCCAGGAGCGTCGAGAGAATTAGATAAACCCATGTATGTAAAGTACTTAGAAGAGTGCCTGGTACATGATAAGCATTATATATGGGTTAGCTGTTAACATCATCATTCTCGCCCTCATCGGGAGCAGGTGTTGGGGATCACCAATGGACCAGCCAGGTGGGGCCGTACAGAGCACTTGAGAGAGAGATTCAGCAGACCTGGCTTCTCAACCTAACTTTGCCATCACTTAGTGTGCCTATTAGTTCGCTTAGGGCTGCCATACCCAAGTACCACACACTGAGGGGCTTAAACAACAGAAGTTTATTTTCTCACAATTCTAGAGGGCAGCAGATCACAGTGTTATACTTACAGAGTTGTTTCTTCTGAGGCCTCTTTCCTTGGCTTATAGATAACCATCTTCCCCCTGTGTCTTCACAAGGTTCTTCCCTCTGTAGGTACCTGTGTCCTAATCCCCTCTTATAAGAACACTAGTCATATAGATTAAGGCCCACCCATATGTCTGCATTTTTAACTTACTTGCCTCTTTAAAGACCCTCCTTCCAAATACTGTCACATTTAGAGAGAGGTACTAGGTGTTAAGACTTCAACATTTGAATGGGGGGGAGGACAAAATTCAGCCCATAACACTATGTGACCCCAGACAAACCATTTTCTCTCTCTGTGACAGTTTCCCCATTTGTAAAATGGGGCTGAGAACAGCTGAAGGAAGCACGGAATTCAATGGTCCCTCTCAGTTTTGATCATATAATTTCTCTAGCTGAGACTAAGCTCTACCTCTCTGATAGCCATAGCACTTTTTGGATCTCTTTTAGATGATACTATTTCCCTCATTCTGCAGCTATATATTGAGCTCCTACTGTATGCCAAGCACCATTCAATACCGAGGAAGACAAAAAAAAAAAAAAAAAAGTCCATGTTTGCCTGAGGCTTATTGTTTAGTAGCAAGAGATAAACTTAAAAAAAATTTTTTTAATGTTTATTTTTTCAGAGAGAGAGAGAGCATGAGCGGGGGGGGGGGGGGCAGAGAAAGAGGGAGACACAGCATCCAAAGCAGGCTCTAGGCTCTGAACTGTCAGCACAGAGTCCAACATGGGGCTCAAACTCACGAACTGTGAGATCATGACCTGAGCCGAAGTTGGACACTTAACCAACTGAGCCACCCAGGTGTCCCAACAAGAGACAGACCTTAATCAAATGGGCTCCTAGATACTGACGTCTTCGATGAGCCTTGCGGTTCTTGGGTAGATGCTCTTCCCTCCACCGGGCACGGACTCTTGGCACACACCTCACCATGTTCTGCTCAAGGTGGGCACACAGTAAAGCCTAAAAAGAACAAATGAACAAATGAACGACTACAGCGAAAGTAAGGGTTGACAAAAGGAAATCAAAAGTGGTTCAGCTCCATAAATCACTCTCAGAAGGGCTGATTTCACAGTGTTTAACAATTCTTGGCTTTGGAGAAAAATTCTACAATAGGGTTTGCCAATCCCTGCAGTCACACTATGGGTGGCAACTGATTTCATCCTGACTGAACTTGATTCTGGCCTCACTTCTTCCACGGCCTTGGAAAGGAACAGAGTGTTTTTTGTAACAGGGCCTTGTGTTTGTAATTATGTCAAAGGCACCTGAATGACCCTCTGTAATGTCAGAAAGCTCTATACATCTGTCAGCACAGAGCTTTTTATAGACACAGGTTAGAAAACCCCAATGCTCTCTGGTATCAAGCCAGCAAGCTGGGGTGGGGATGAGTGCTTGTCGGGAACATTTGGGATACAAACGTGTTGAGCTCCTACTGTGTGCCAGGTACAGGCTAAAACATATGAGTACAGTGGTAAACAGCAGAGTCTCTGTTCTTCTGAAGATCAAGTCTCCAGGAGAGGCCAAATACTGATAGAAATAGATTTTTTTTTTAAGAAAAGAAGTAGAGACAATGATAAGTGCTAACAAGAGACCCACATTCGCCTGGGAGATAGGGCAAAAAGGCCTTTCCATAAATGCATAAAACTAGCCCAAAAGGACTTTTTCAACTTCCTCTATTTATAGTTGGGGAAACTAGGTTTGGGGAGGGAAGTGACTTGTCTAAGACCATTTCTACAAGTTAGTGGAGAAGATAGGATTATCTTCACAGCTCTTCTGGCTGTGCTCTAAGGCTATCTCACCAACCATCAAATAGCCTCAGTTTCTAACTGTAACCAGCCTCCCAGATTCTCAGGGCTGGGGGTTGTGGGATGGGACAGGGATTGCTTACAAGTCTTGCTCCGTCTCTTGTCTTCTATGTATGAAAAGGTTCATAGTTAAAAAGTGAAAGTGACTCTTTCCCTTCATTTTATATACAAGTCGCCAAAATCTGGTAATGAGATAGTCTAAGTTAATGTGGTCTGAATTAGGAGACTGTGGTGTATGGCTTATATTTTACTTGCCAAATTAGCCAGATTCATGAGGGTGTAGGTGTGTGTGTGTGTCTGTGTGTCTGTGTGTGTGTGTGTGTGAGAGAGAGAGAGAGAGAGAAAGAGAGAGAGAGAGAGAGAGAGAGAGGAGGTAAAGTAGGAAGTATTCCTACTATTTTTTTGTTGGTTGTTATTTTGAATCTTAGTCACCTACTTGCAGTCACATATTTAAATATCTATGCATATGGAAATTTTTCTGGATGTGTCCAAAGTGTGCCGGCAACACTCAGGATTGGGCAATAAATGGACCTTGTCTTTAATACACGTGTGGCAAGATTTGCCTCTCTACTTTCTCTCTCCATGTATCATAGCTCTGTATTTATTGGTTTAATACCCACTCCCCGCTTGTCTCCGTGCTCCCAGAGAACAATTAAATATCACTTCCTGGGGAAGGCCTGGATTCCCAAATCAGGCTAGGACTCCCTTGCTAAATGCTCTCATAGCACCCGTAGCTCTTCTAACAGCACCCATGGAACATTATTGAACGTTTTGAACATCTCTCTTTTCTGCACATCATGAGCAGTTCTGTGAGCATAGAACCTGGCCCTGACTCAGACATGGATGCATTCCCAACACACAGTACCTGGTCCATGGGAACTCAGCTCAATACTCCATTGTTGAATGAACAAACAATACCATATTATTAATTTTTATTTATGTCCCTGGCACCTAGTGCATTTTCCAACTCAGGCTAAGTGCTCAAAAGTGACTCGAGTTGAAGAATCCCACCTATGGCTTTATACAGTTTGCAAAACACTTTTGCTTTTACTTAGACTGAGATATAACATCGCTGTGATATAAGCAGAGTGGAGATTAGCACTCCACTTTACAGACTGTCACTCAGGAAGTTTAAGCAATTGCCCCAGGGTGTCAGGCTAGAGACTGTAGAAAAGCCCAGGCCCAGAACTTCGGGTAACAGGGGCAGGGCTGTCTCCAGTGGGCAAGGCTGTGGCCTTGCAATACAGTCACTGACAAGAATTAAATCTTGTCAGTAGGAACAATCAGGACCTTTCAAAACTTCATACAGGTATTTTTTTCAAAAGTATTTTCAGGGGCGCCTGGGTGGCTTAGTCGGTTAAGCGTCCGACTTTCGCTTAGGTCATGATCTTGCGGTTCGTGGGTTCGAGCCCCACGTCGGGCTCTGTGCTGACTGCCAGCTCAGAGCCTGGAGCCTGTTTCAGTCTGTGACTCCCTCTCTCTCTGACCCTCCCCTGCTCATGCTGTCTCTCTCTCTCTCCTAGAAATAAATAAAAAAACATTGAAAAAAAAGTATTTTCAAACTTCCCACCTACTTGGAGGAATCAAGTCAGGACATGAGTTTTAGAGGCTCAATTTTTGCATACTCTTAGCAAGAGACCTTACCACTTTGAGCCTGCATGCTCTTGTCTATAAAATGGGAGTAGTGAGAGCTTACTTCATAGAGTCATTGTCTGGATTAAACGAAAGAATGTATGTAACGTACATACAGTAAGTGCTCTGTAAATGTTGGCCATTACTAGATGCTAAGACAACAGAGAAATGCTGAGCTCTTAGGGAAAACTCAGCCTTAACATTGATCATGGTCCCACTCTGAAATATGCACAACTTCATAGGAAATATAATGGCCACAGTTCTACTCGTCAAAATTTATTCCTTGTTTCATCAAGGACATTGGTTTGTGACATTTTATAGGAGTAACTGTCCTCTTTCCACCACCTCCCTGCCCTACACACTCAACTATTTGTGTTGAAGAGAAGAGCTGCATTCCCGGCAGCTCTGCCTTCACTAGGGGACAAGAAACTGGTTAAATCTGCTGTTAGCTGCTGCCCAGTGGGATCCAATTATAGCGACGGTGGTGTCCATGGTAACCGGCCAAGCTGGCCTGCTGTGGTGCAAGTTGTTCAAGAATATAGAAGGGACCATGGAAGGCCTAATTGGTTAACTGTCATCTCAGTTTCTGAATGAAAGAACTTCACACTGCGCTTTGGATAAATGGTGAATCCAGACGAAATCTGGATTTCCTAAGCTGAAGGCACTGAGGTAGTTCCCAAAGCCACTGACTTCCCGATGAATCTGACTGCTGGAGGTGCGGGTTATCAACAAGGGCAATGGGTGAGATGGCAGGAGGGGCAGGACACTGAATAAAATGATTACATGAAATGCTGCCATTCCCTCGAAGCTTCTGTGGCTCCCTATTGCCTGCGGCAAAATCCTTTGTGGAACTGGAGTTGAGCACTGAGGCACCCTCAAGAACCAAGGTAGCCATGGTCACTAGTTTCTCTCTCTTGTCCCTGCACCTCTGGACATCTGTCCTGCTCTCACTTGTATAGTGGGGCCCTCTCTGTACTCGCAATTCCTGCTTTCCCACAACTTCTACTAATATGTGACACTGACTCCAGCTCTGACTCTATAAGATCTTACAGGCCCAGAATCTGCTACCTGCTTGTCACTGACCAGGAAGAGCTCTCAAGGCTGGAATATACTCCAGGGGAAGGGTGGAGAGAGGGTGAACCCATCAGAAAGGAGAATCAAGACTGGAGACTTCCATACAGGACACTAGAGGCCAGGACTCCAGCTGTGATCAGAGCTGGGTCACAGATGCACAAAAATCCTGAAGCAAGAGCCCTGCCTGTCCCTCGCTCAGCTTCCTCCTCCATCAATCGTGCCTCTGAGCAGCCTGTGAAGGAGATGCGTGGGGCAGTGCAAGGAGCCGGGCTAGGAGTCGGAGGGCCAGCTTTCAAGTCTTTACATGGCTAGTTATTGACGAGATATTGAACCTCTATAGGTCTTAGTGTTCTCCCCTGCAGATGGAACTTTGGCCACAGCACACCTGAGTAGCACTTAGAAGTATCTGCCATGGAAATATCTGCATAGTTTGCCATATATCACAAGCAAGAAAGAAAGGGGTCTTGGGTTTCAAGGCCAAGTTAGTTTGATCCCAGTCCCAAACATGGGACGATGGACACTTAAAGGTGATTCTGTTCGTGGTGAAGGACAAACTGGACTCCTGCCTCAGGAAGGGAGAAATAGTACCACGTCATTAGTGCACAGCTTGGGTAATGGACTCAGGGGCAGAGGGCAGAGGGAGACAGAAGGAAGCTCATGACATGCCTTCCAGACAAGACAAACTAGACACTCCCACCCTGCCTTCTCACCAGCTCCCCACCCCCTGCCTCCTCTGCCCATCTCAGCCCCATCTGGTCCTTTTCTTGGCCAATTCACACAGAGTCTGAAGCAGAATACTAAAGTCAGTAAATTTTTTTCAAACAAGCAGTATAGTCTTAACTGGATAGGCATGGAGTATTTCTTGAATGATAAAATGAAATTTAACAGTCTAGAGAAGTCTGAGGCAGCCTAAAATGCTCAGAGTTGCATAAAAGTTTGCAAAATGTCCCCGTGGTGTATCTATATTATCAATACATGGTTTCAGTTTTGTGGGTGTTTTTTTTTTTTAACAACCAATGTGTTATCTTGACTTATTTGGTTTTTAAATCAATTTACCATCTGGAGTTGACCCAGAATCGTGGGTGAGACTTGCAAGAATTGTAACTTCAGGAAATGGGGTGAGCAGAAAGCAGGAGAGGTTTCATAGTTGCTGGATCTTTAACTGTTCTGAATTCGGGTTTTGTCACTCTCCCACATCCCTCAAAAGGTGCCTCATCACCATCTCCTTGAACACCCACTCTACCTTCTACCATTTTGGTTATACTGAGCGGAACTTAACCTTACTATAACTTACATAGTTGGTACTCTTTCTGACTCTTGGGGCACAAAAATTCCAATGAATTCTCTCTCCTACCTCATAGGCCACTGGATATTTGAATGAATAATGACACCCCCATGTGTATTGACCTCTTGCTTAAACACCCCCAGTTCTTTCAACCATTCCTCCGTTGGTGTGAAGACACAGTAGGAGAAATGCTGCTATTTGGGGAGCCAGACTTAGGTAGTTTTATGTCCTGACTCTTTCAAAGTAGCTACGGACTTGGGCCAAGTCACACAATATTTCTGGGACACTACCAGTATTTGGTAAGGTTTGAAGAAGACTAAATGAGAGAGTGTGTGTCTTGAACATCTGGTGTGATGTCTGCCTCACGGTGGGTGCTTTGTATGATGGTACATGCCATGGCTGTCATGGCACCAAGGAAAAGTTGCTCGCAATCACTTCTCCTTCAGGAGGATTTTACGTTAAAAAGGAATGGAACTCAGATGTTTAGCAGTCGAAAGAAAACAAGGGCTGATATGGCCTGGCCAAGGAAGCTGGGAAGACCAGACTTTGGATCAAAAAGGACAGAACAGAACCGTCACAGGAGGCCACAGAAGATTCTGTAACATAACGATGGTAATACCTTCTTCGCAGTGGCTGGCATCGTAAGGAACGAATTAGATCATGTATGTGAATGTGGTTTGTAGAGCCAATGCTCCCCTGTGCTCCTAGAATACTTGTGCTTCACCTCATCATAGGATAATAATTTGTCAATATGTCTATTTCCCCCTAAAGATTGTAGCGGTATCATAGTGGGGAAATGTTGGGGGTTTTTTTCTGCCCACTTCCCTCTTTCACTGGGGAAGCGCCTCCCCCTCACTCCAAGTGGCTCAGATGAGACAGTCAATGTTAGTATCCTGCCAGCTGTGAGCTACAGGCCTGAGCTCGTGAGTCTAACCAGTCAGGGTGCTCCAGCCCTTCACCCAGAGAGATTGGTCCAAGGCATGGAAGAGCCTGTGGCCCAACCAGAATCCTTCCATGCAATTTGATTTTGGATGCTGGAAAGGGTGTTTCTTTCTTTTGAATTACGAGCCATAAGAACATTAGTTTGGCAATACAATTTATTCACTCAACCAGTATTTATTGATGATCAAAATATCAGTCAGAGTTGAGAGGATCCGGTCATGGGACATACACCTTTCTGGATATTTTATTTTATTATTTTTTTCCTCTGGATTATTTTAAACAGAAGGAATTTAATATAATAAAGTGACTTTATAGTGTTGGAAAGGCTGAGGAGGCAAAAGATGGACTTTGAGTGAACCCAGGGCTTAGTGATGCTGGAAGAAATTGCCATCCCTAAGAATGTGAGAATGGCAGGGGAGAGGTGGTATTACCAGAGTCCAGAACCTGGGAGGGGTGAGGTGGGCTGGTGCCCTGATCCACAGAGGTTTCTACAGTGGGAGCCCACTGCAGGCCAGTGCCAGGACCATGTTGGAGAGCTACTCAGGCTCTGAGGGAGAAGCTTCACATGCAGGTACTTAGAAGGTCAAAAGTTAGCGATTGCTCTCCATGCCTGCTAGGGAGATGCTAACGCAAGCCCATAGCAGGAAGAGAGACCCCTGCCTCCTCCTGTCTGCCAATCCCCCATCCTTGCCTAACTGATAAAGCCTATCTGAAAGCCTCTTGGCGAGAAAGTCTGGAAAACGCAGATCCTTACAGGATCCAAGCCTCCCTAAAATACATAGCAGAATAAAGCAGAGTAGAAACGGAGGCTGAGAGCAAGCAGGCAAAAGACCAGCCAATGGGCTGTGCGCTAAGCCTTGTTCTAGGGACCGGGGTTATAGCAGGAAGCAAGACAGAAAAAAACCCTACTCCCTAGGAACTTACTTCTAGAAGGGAAGGATAGACAATATAAAAGCAAGCCTAAAACAAACAAGGTAGTGTGGCAGGACACAAAGCATCAGTTGGTCATTGTTCAGGTTCCCTGGAAGCTGACTATAAGATGAGGATTAACTCAGTATAAGCTGAATGTAAGATGAGGTTCTCAGAAACACCTTTTAAGGTGAGGAGACATGATACTTAATTTCATGTGTCACCTTGGCTAGAGAGTGGTGGCCAGATTTTTTTTTTTTTTGTCAAACACTAGTCTAGATGTTGCTATAAAGGTATATGTTCAGATGTGATTAACATTTACAATCAGTTGAGTTCAAGTAAAGCAGATGATCCTATATAGCGTGGGTGGGCCTCGTCTAATCAGTTGAAGCTTTTAGGAGCAAAGACAAAGCTTTCCTGAAGAAGGATATTCTGCCTCTAGAGCGCAACATAGAAATTCTAACCCTCAGACACAAGACTGCAACCTCTACTCTTACCTGAATCTCCATCTTGCTCACTCGGCCTGCAGATTTCAGAGTGAGAGCTCTGTCCGTCACATACAAGCCAATGCCTTAAAATCTTTACTCCTCTCTTTCTGGGTTTTGTTTCTCTGAAGAACTCCGACTCATATGGCAGGGGAGAGGAAGAGAAGCAGAGCAAGGATATGATTTTGGCAAAGTCCAGTCTCCTCCTGATGTCGTGGGGAGCTCTGGATGCACCACAGAGGTCGCCCTGCCTCAAGACAAAGGAGTTAGGCTTTGTACCTCTGCAGCGGTCAGTCCCCAGGCAGCCCTTCAGAGAAGGTTGTGGGTGCGAGTTACACACATACTTCAACTCTTGGGGATTTCCTTTCTCTATTTGTTAAGGTTCTGGTATTTTAATTCCAGAGGGTAACAGAGACTCATCCATTGACAAACTAAAAGGATTTCTTTATTCTTTTTTTTATTTTTTTATTTTTTATTTTTTTACTTTGTACAAATAGTTTATTGTCAAGTTGGTTTCCATATAACACCCAGTGCTCATCCCCACAAGTGGCCTCCTCCATGCCCATCTCCCTCCTCCCCCCACCGACACCCATCAGTCCTCAGTTTGTTCTCAGCATTCAAGAGTCTCTCATGGTTTGCCTCTCTCCCTCTCCTCACTATTTACCCCCTTCTTTAATTAGGAAACTACTTGTGGGACATGTGGAACATAGGGCTTGAGTTGAGGACTTAGGAGGTCTGGTTTCAGGCTCCAGGTTGGCTGACTCCCTGTGCGATCTTTTAAAAAAAAAAAA